GTTGCTGTGCTCTTCCTGCTAGCGTGCCGAGGCGCTCTTGTCAATCAGAGGCCTTCCACGGAGTCTTGCCAGTCGCCAGAAAGGCTCTGTGGGCTATAGCCGGGGACCCATATGTTGACTTGTCCGGGTATTCTCGGCTGCTCGGGTGCCCTTTACGTTGGCTTCGGTTCACCTACCGACACATTCGCGAAATGCTCATTCATGGGCCCCCTGCATTGGTCTAGGGCGCTTCCAATGAAGCAGGGCGACACTAGGGCGCTTCCAATTATGTCACTTGCGTAGGGCCCTACGCTCTTGTCGGGGGCCCACCTGTTAACCTGCTTATGCACACTCTGTCGGTCGGGGCCCTCCAAATTGGGTCTAGGGTACTTTTTATTTGAATGGAGGGCCCAGCACACTTGTCGGGGCCCCATCTGTTAACCTGCTTCGGCACACTGGATTGTTTAGGGGCCCGGCACATAGGGTATTTTAATGTAGGGGACCCACGCTCTTGTCAAGGTCATCTGATAGCCTGCTCGTATACACTCGATCTTTCGGGGGCCCTCTACATTTGGTCTTGGGGACGCCCTATTTGAATGGGGGCCCTACGCACTTCTCTGGCGTCCCCCCTGTTAACCTCTTCGGTCAAAGCGGATTGTTCGGGAGCCCTGCTCATTGAGTCTTGGCGTTTGCATTTAGGTCCCTGCACCCCTGTCGGGGCCATCTGATAACCTGCTCGGGTACACTCCATCTTTTGGGGCCCTCCGCACTGGGTTGTGAGCACTTTTTATTCCAATGGAGGGCCCTACGCCCTACGCTCTTGTCGCGGTCCCTTCTGATAAGCTGCTCGGGCATATTCGATTGTAAAGGGACCTCTACGTCGTGTCTTGGGTACTTTCGAATTAAATTACGATTATGATTATGATTCGAACTTATGACGATTGTTCGCATTGAAACAATGGAAGGGTGCTATACCAGTCAGGGCCCCCAGTACCGAACAGTGGGCCATCCGACTAGATTTCAGCATGGACCTGTTAAGCGGAACTGGGGTCAATGTGCCATTTATTGGACCATCTCAGTTCAGCTGTGCGCGCCGCCACGCG